AGTTATGTGACTCCCGGTACAGTAGCCACACACCACGACACTGAGGGCGACGCAGGCCCCGGGGTATGAGACTTGTGATGGTGTTTACCCTATGGTAGTGTGTAGACCCATGGCGTGCCCCAGTTATGTGACTCCCGGTACAGTAGCCACACACCACGACACTGAGGGCGACACAGGCCCCGGGGTATGAGACTTGTGATGGTGTTTACCCTATGGTAGTGTGTAGACCCATGGCGTGCCCCAGTTATGTGACTCCCGGTACAGTAGCCACACACCACGACACTGAGGGTGACGCAGGCCCCGGGGTATGAGACTTGTGATGGTGTTTACCCTATGGTAGTGTGTAGACCCATGGCGTGCCCCAGTTATGTGACTCCCGGTACAGTAGCCACACACCACGACACTGAGGGCGACACAGGCCCCGGGGTATGAGACTTGTGATGGTGTTTACCCCATGGTAGTGTGTAGACCCGCGGCGTGCCCCAGTTATGTGACTCCCGGTACAGTAGCCACACACGACGACACTGAGGGCGACACAGGCCCCGGGGTATGAGACTTGTGATGGTGTTTACCCCATGGTAGTGTGTAGACCCATGGCGTGCCCCAGTTATATGACTCCCGGTACAGTAGCCACACACGACGACACTGAGGGTGACACAGGCCCCGGGGTATGAGACTTGTGATGGTGTTTACCCCATGGTAGTGTGTAGACCCATGGCGTGCCCCAGTTATGTGACTCCCGGTACAGTAGCCACACACCACGACACTGAGGGCGACACAGGCCCCGGGGTATGAGACTTGTGATGGTGTTTACCCCATGGTAGTGTGTAGACCCACGTTGTGCCCCAGTTATGTGACTCCCGGTACAGTAGCCACACACCACGACACTGAGGGCGACACTGGCCCCGGGGTATGAGACTTGTGATGGTGTTTACCCCATGGTAGTGTGTAGACCCACGGCGTGCCCCAGTTATGTGACTCCCGGTACAGTAGCCACACACCACGACACTGAGGGCGACACAGGCCCTAGGGTATGAGACTTGTAATGGTGTTTACCCCATGGTAGTGTGTAGACCCACGGCGTGCCCCAGTTATGTGACTCCCGGTACAGTAGCCACACACCACGACACTGAGGGCGACACAGGCCCCGGGGTATGAGACTTGTGATGGTGTTTACCCCATGGTAGTGTGTAGACCCACGTTGTGCCCCAGTTATGTGACTCCCGGTACAGTAGCCACACACCACGACACTGAGGGCGACACAGGCCCCGGGGTACGAGACTTGTGATGGTGTTTACCTTAAGTTCGACAAAACATGCGCTTTACCCATTACTGCCGCAGGCCGCGCCGTTAATGGTGATTATGTTGATACAAGCCCCATAAACACTCGCTGGGAATGCAAATCATCTGACAAGGTCCGGTACAGCAGTCGTCAGCGTCGCTCCGCCAATATAGACCTATTTTCGTTGTTTTGGTACAAAGCCGATTTAGTATTATATTTGAACTTCTTTGTAACACATTCAGTGTTTAGGTTCTTACAGTAACGAATAACTAAGTACTTCGTGTTTAAAGACTTTTTATTGTCCTGGATTGTATCTGGATTACCTTGTAATTAAGGATTGATTGTACGGGCAAGATTCCAAACGTCATGACATAATTAGAGGCTGATTACGTACTCTTTTGTGTGATGTACAACATACCATCGACATGAATCGTTCACATTGTAACGACTTTATTACAGCCACAATGGTCACGTTTATGGTATAACCGTGCACCACATCAAATATCCTCTACTGTCTGTTCTCTAGGTTCAGCCACTGTCTGGTCACTTGACCAAGACACGTAATAGCACAGAATAGGGAGACTGTGTTAATAGATTTGTTGGGTAAATATGAAATGATATATCCATGCGTTGTTATCGCGGTCACGACTAGCCTCAGGTTGTACCTCCTTCCCCATCTTTGGTACATTCTCGTGTCGTAGATAATCAGCCGTGTGATATATGATGTTATGTAACGTTTTACAATATGATACGAAATGTAAAGCTAAACAAATATCATCAAATGTATCATTTAATCTGTTCTAATTCAACTATATTTATCACATGCTTGCAGGCTCAGAAAATGGCTTAAATTAAACAGAAGAAATTGAGTGTGAAGCAGTTTTGAGTGATGACAAAACTATTAAAACACAAAGTTATTATTTAGGCAAACAATTACATTTTTCAACCAAGAAACGTTCTAGTTAAAACGTTATATGAAAACAATTGTGTAAAACAGTTATAACAGTTTACAGCCTATACACAAACAAATAAAAAAGTTAACTCTTAACATAGTTAACACAGAGAAGGAAACCGCCAGGCCGAATGTGATAGCTTCGTAATCGTAATGCATCAGATACATATTGCACGTAAATGCAATTTCACGAAGGTGCAACACAGAGTGCGTTTTTACGTAGTAAAATTGTTCTGTCCTTGCAGAAACGTGTCCACAATAGGAACCTAAGGTAGAAAATAACTGACACATTTCCAATTCTCTTACATCTAATACGCTGATTTAATCCAAGTTAATGGAAATTATACGATAAGGATAATTACAAGTTCCAGAGCCGCCAGATAAATATAATGACAGTTTGAAATACAACTTTGATTAACCCCTCGCTTCAATCACACCATCTATGTAACCCGAGACCGCATTACCCCAGTGCTCCATAATTACAGTATGAGAAGGTCCGTCGACCCGTCCCAGTCCCCGCACTTATAAATGGGCCACTCAAAATGTTGTTTGGACCGCGGTGGCTCCAAATAGTTTAACTGCCGAAATAAAATAACACTTAATGTCTTAAACCCGAGGGCCCTGTAATGGTGGGCCGGCACGAGCCCCGAGATATTCAAATTTGGACGCAATCAGGCCCCGGGCGTGTCACTTTTCCCCACCTTCAAATTTGAAAATGGAGTTGCCGTCCCTAACCTGGCCAATGTTCGGGGTCGATAGACTTGCATTGCAGTTTGAAAGTGCTTAAAAGTGTTTAGTGCTTAAGTGTTACTTAATGCTAATTGTATATGTCATGGATGTCTCCAGCTCGTTCAAGTTGTTCGGTATCCATAGATGGTACCTAATCATTTTTTATGGTAATACATAAATTCCTGTATTATGAATTAGACCAAACCAGTCATTTTAGCCTACCACCAAGAACTGAGGGAAGGAAGATATGGCGGTTCTTCACCAACATCGTCCAATGCAAACTGCTGGATTATCAGGCGCGTATTCTAGATGTAAATTAGTTTATTACTGTCCACGTCACAAGGCAAAATACTCCACAGATGCGTTTTTTACCAGCTGGAACACATAAGGCTCTTTCAAATGGTTCTTGTGTCACTTAATTATATCCACAACATTTGTCTGCAACATAAATTGCCGTGTTTTCAAATTTCAAAATATAAAGGCCCAACTGAACTAATATGTATTAAATATTCAAAGGTTTGAACACCAACTGTCACTTCTCTTGATGCAATATAGAAATCTGTTTAAGAAATTAAACAAACTAACTAAAACGATAAAAAATTCAACAGCTGATGTATCTTAATTTTTTTTAAATTTAATGTGATAAACATAACTTTAGTTGAGGTTCCTGTCTTTAGGAGAGGGTTTATCGAAAAACTGATATTTTTCGGTGAAGTTTCACATCAGGACAGTTCATTCAATAAAGCTTCCAGTTTTCGAAAAAGTTAAAATCCATCCTAGCTTTATATAGATACTGTAACGCACGTATCCCTTTTTTGATTTTAATATGCACCAATTCAAAGAGTGTGTTAATTTAAAGATTTCGTTAGATCAAAAGTATTTGTGGTAGGGACTATAGTTTTCTAAAGTTGACATTATAAACGTATATTTGTTCTTATACTTTGCAAATATATTTTTTAAATTATCCTACCAAACCGATCCCACCAATTGTTTTCATCATAATGTCAATACGGTAGTACATTTATTAACAGCTTAGTTAGGTTAATTCGTACTTGCACTCATTCAACAAATTAAATATATTAAATCCGGTGATTTTAGAAAACAATAGCTGAATATAAATTGAGTTTATATTATATTCATAGGAAGAATGTAAATACTTACGGATAAATTAAAATAGTTTAAGTCGTTATTGGGAAACCACCAATTTATCAGAGTATCATAATAAATTAGAGGGGAATCACTTCAAATCCTCAAAGATTTTTACTTCGCCACAAACCAAGGTGAGCAGTTGATTGGCAATATAACGCCAACACCCCAGTGCCCGACTTGACGACGTGAAGTATTTATTTCGTATTTTTTGTCATTCCTTCAAATATTAGTTAATCCTGAAGAGGGAGGATTTCCATTATCTCAGTTGTTTATTGATAATATTTGTCAAAAGAAATAATGTGAGGTTCGTGGAAGGCTTGAGGTGTTATTTTGTTTTTGTTGCCGGTGAATCTAAAAGTGAGTCCAAAATAATAAGTGGTTATAAAGACGAAGGTGTGAAACCCGCCCTAGCCCGGTGGCGCGGCGCCGCGGCCGTTCGTTGAACTAGGGGTGCGAGGGTTGAGGAGGCATCGTGTCGTCCATGTCTAGAATGTAAGTACACCATATATATGTAGATGTATAGATATGTATGTAGAATGTTTGTAGAATGTGTGTATGTGTAGAATGTAGAATGTGTCGTGTGCAGTTGTCTAGAATGTAAATAGACCAATACACCTTCTATTTGAGTACAAAGAAATTCCGCACTAGTCTTGACAAAAGTAGTTTAAACTTTAACAGGATATTATTGTAAAATATATTGCAGGCCTACAATCTTTGATGTTCACTAGTTATATAATATATAATGGTTTATGTAGACTGGTTTTGCATGAATATAATTGAATAGTGTTATATTCAACACTTTTCTTGTTGACTGTGCCAATTTGTTGTTTATGTAATATTAAGAAAGCAGCTGATAGTGTACCTTACTGTAAAAGTACACAACAGCTTTAGAAAGTTAGCATTTTTTTGTGTAACCTATTAAGTTTACTAATTATTTCCGTCATGGCTGTCGATGAGTCTATGAGAACATTGAAAATTCCTCCCCGTTTTACACCTTACCTTGAAAAGCATCGCATTTACGAACTCTTTTACGACCTAGGAAATGAACTTGCCATAAACCGTCCCTCTGACCCGTTATTGTTTCTAAAGACACGTCTGGAGCAAGTTGACAAATGGCGAGACAAACGCATCATCGTGATGATTACTCCTCCGTCCATGGACAGGATAAAACTTTCCCAGCTCGTTTCAGCTAAATCTGGCTGCAGTATACTTTCAAGATACCTGTGTGTCAAAAATCCCGTAGACCATTACTCTCCAATAATATTGGCCAAGGCTGTTTCAGACACATTGGAGGAATCCGACGAAAAAGATTGGATTTTTGCAGACTTTCCGGATACAGCTGAAGAGGCAGAAGAACTTATAACCCTTGGTGTTTTACCGACACATACACTGTTGTTACTAGAAGATAATAATAATGTAGACGAAGAAGAAGCCCAAACAATGACGTTAAAAACATCCCCGTCTGTATTGATGGACTACGACAACAATGCTTATCACTTGAAGGAACTTTATAAATCGTCTCTCAAGGTTGTCAAAGTGAAAAATAAATCTCTGGAGGATGTAGCTGAAGCGTGTTCAATATTGGCAAAGAAAATGCCTTGTAGGCCAGCTCCCAGGTTATTTAGAGTAGCTCTTATTGGGCCAAGAGGTTCAAGAAGAAGAACCCTTGCTAAACTTGTTAGCAAACAATTCAACGTGGTCCATGTGGACATGGAACAGTTGGTAAATGCGGCCAGGGTTGCTGACACAGCATCAGGTGATGAACTCAGATATTTAGACAAAAACGGCTTTAGCTACCCACTTAAAACTGTTTTCGACCTACTCAAAAATAGACTAGCCAAAGAAGATTGTATAAATCGGGGATACGTATTGACGAACTTCCCAACTTCTGTAGATGATTTTGTATTGCTTGACTCCATTGAGACGCCACCCAATAGAGTAGTTTTCTTAGATGTAGACGAAGCAGAGTGCCAGAAAAGATTAGAAAATAGATTAGTAAATATGCACACGGGAAGTCTGCACTATAGAAGTGACGACCAGTCAAACCCAGAAAATCTAACTCATCCTGACGACCAGGCTTGCAAGGTAGAAAATGAGATAATGTTTTATAACGAGAGAATAGAAGCTATCAAGGATTATTGTGGTGAGACGGCTTCCATCGTCGATGCGAGAGGTCCAATAAATTCTTTGTTGGAAAGGATCGAGGATATATTAATGAGTCCTGCTCCTGTTACCAAACCGAGATCTGGGAATTCGACTAAGAAACATAACGAGCCCAGGAAATCAGGATCAGAGGCGTCATCAGGTAGCCGGCGACTATATACTCCTATATCCCGCACTGAAGTTGTTCCGATGATAGAATCAGTAGAATTGCTCAGGAGATTTAGCGAACTGAAGATGATCGCCAAAGGACGTAGTGATAGTAGTTCTACTGATGACGGTGATCTGATCATGCGTGAATTAGATAAGGAGTTTGAGCGAGCGCTCAGAGGAGGACGACCTTAAATAATAGAAAAAAATCAATTCAGCAGGACTCTTAACTTTATTACTTAAGAACTATTGTTTTGTTTTTAGGCCTGTTTTTGGATAGTTTTTATTAAACAAATCAATAAATTAAATCAATAACTTTAAGAAGTTCTATATCAAGGCGTCTTGGTTCTATATAATCCTGAGAAAACATTTAAAACACCATTTTCTTTTTGCAAGTTTTTAGAACCTGCAAAGTAGAGGCTTCTAAAGAACTTTTTAATCAAACATGATTTAATCTTTCAATATAAAAGGGTATTTGTCATGCTTAATTTCTGAAGAATGTGTTTTGCTCCTTTTATTATATTTACTTTTAAATAAAATTACTGGCTATTTACACTACTGTACTATTGTCTTTTACAATGGCTGTTTTACTCTGACCATCTTCTTTTAGAGGGGAATGGACGATGATAACTTAACTATAATGATTTTATTCTGGGACATACTTTGATAACATTTTGATCTGTAAACCTAATTTGTGGTGTTCTTTATTCCGCGATAAGATCAACGCTACTGTTCCTCTTCGTCACTGACCATGTAGATGCACAGCTTCAGATTTATGATAACAAAAAGCGAGCGGGGTGAACTACCTTCCTCGCCTTCGCTATCATTACACTAATTGTACGGATTATAATTTATGTGGAGGTGAGAACAGCAGCTGAAGGGTACATCTGCCCTTGGTCGAGGTCTTCGCCCCAAACCCTTCCCCTTCCTCAATGTTTACTTCGCGTTCGCGCGCCGGCACAGCGTCTAGCGGTTGGTGTGGGGATGAATCGCAAAAACCCACCATCACCTGGCGATTAACACGGGTCTACGCGAAGGTAGTAATTTATTACCGTTAAAACACTAGCCACGACCCTTGCAACCCGCTACTTTATGGGGGTTTTTGCTTTGTTGAATTGACATAAAATTGCACCCTTTTGTAGCATGGTGGTTATCAAGGCTACCTGTGAAATTATTGCAATCAAATATTCTTCAGAGAGGTTCGGCAATTTTTCTGCAGCGAAAGGTTTTAAAATGAAATTTTGAGTATACTGTTCCGAGTATCTGTTTGTTGTTAATTGTGTCAACCTAAAATTACCTACTATTTTACTCAAAGTATTACCAGCGATGTAATTGATCCTTATACTATTTTCCTTATTATATCATTATTTCCTTATACTATTGTGCCACAGACTTGTAACGGTTATGAAGCTAATGAGTTGAGCCAAGACAAAAAGTGTGCAAGAAAATTCACATCGAGGTTTTGCAAGTGCTAGACGCATTTTGATGTTTTTACTTGAATATTAATTCACTTTCCGGACGATTATCAGCCTTTTTGTCCCTGATGTCGAAAATTGGTGGTTGCGAGTGCACATACTTGCAAACCTAGCCTGACCAAACCTAACCTTCACTTGAGACGAGCAACAGCAAGGTAGAATAATTGCAAACAAAATTAAGATGTTGGAGTGCCGGTTTGCAAACCTAATGGTTCGTGTGGTAATTTATGTTATAAATACAGTTGCACGAATAGTATGAATAGTGTTTTGATGTATCTACCAGGGAAATCTGCAACTAATAATCACAGTAAATTAATTCAAGTGCAAAACAACAGTTGTGCTTTCCTCTGCAAAACCGGATCCGTAACCTAATATTGATTAAACAACTTAATGAACAAGCTGCAAACTTGATAGTCGATCCAACAATCTACATTCTGAAGATGATGCGAAGGCGGCAATTCTGAGGACGAACGGTGCAAATTGGCGCGAAGGTGGCACCGCTCTACTAATTACAGACCAGAGATAAGCTAATCAGCTGTTTGTATGTATTGACACGTCTTGGCCGTTTGCAAACATCACGTTTATGTCTAAATCCCACCAAGTAGATCATTACTATGCGCGATCCACCAAATTGTTGGCTCTTTTGAATCTTCGTGGCAAAAACTGTCATAATTGATGCCAGTTCGCATTCCGCTGTCCGAGGTTGATTTGATTATTTAAGTTCTTTAACCTACTAACTAGTGGTTTGGGTTGACTCGAGACCAGTCTGTTCCAATTAAAGATTTTCAGATCCTTGAAAATTAAAATGTTTTAAAAGTTGTCAACGAATAGAAATAACTATGAACGTGTTGCTTTCAAATGCACTGAGTGAATAAATCTAAAAGTACATAATTGTTCAATTCAGTATGCAGGTTCTAGTGATCTGACATAAAATTTTGATCTTTTATGATTTTCTAAATTTTTAAATTCATAAATTTATTATTCTTCATTTAACTGCTCGTACCTTTGTAATCAATCATTAAATCACGAAAATTTTGGGACATTGAAAAATCAACACTCTAGGCACAGATATTATATAGTTAAAGTGCCAAAACCTATTATCATAGACTAAGCAACACAAGAGAGTATGTTTTATCAGGTTTTATCTATGCTATTACACGTTCATTAACATCTTTAATAACTCATCAATCATGTGATAGCAGAATGAATCCCTATCATTCCAACCACATCTGTCAATTTTCAGACTTTCGGTTGGATTAAGACTCAATTGAACACTAAACATATGTTTAATATTCCTGTTTTCTTTTCACATAACCTAAAAGAATGCTTTACATCCAAACATTAACAATCCTAATGTTGATTCTACGTGGAGTATTTTCTTTAAAGCTTCGCCATGCCAGTCTGCACGTGATAAGCATAGAAGAGGCACCTTACCTAGCTCTCGTATTGTCTACCAACAGTAAACACTTCTGCACAGGCACAATAGTGAACGAGTCGTGGGTGCTGACGGCAGCTCATTGTTTCTATGACGTCAGAGGAAGATTGACCGAAGATGACAACTCCGTAGTGGTCGTAGCGGGTACAGACAGCTTGGCAAACGCGGCCGAAGACATCAAGAACGAAGTGGCACAAATTAGAAAAAGTGAAAAACTGATTGTACACAGCAGTTATCACTTTTCGAGTAATTTCATCGCAGACCTGGCACTGGTGCAACTTGACGCACCTTTAAACATGACAAAGAGGACTCAAACCGCTCCTTTAGATATCAAAGCTGTTGAAACTGAAGAAGGCACTAGTTCGAAGTTCTCTGGCACGGTGTACGGGTTTGGAAAAATATTGACGAATACAAGCCACGCTAATGATGGTTACATCAAGAAGCAAACGTTCATGATCAGCAAAAGGTGTAAATGTTTGAGTAGGTTATGGGCTTTAAGTTACCATATGGATGTGTTGTCTTCTAACACCTTGATGTGTGATGTTGTCGGTGAAGACTATCCTGGGCTTTGTTCAGGTGACCAAGGCGGTCCTTTGATATCCAACAATTTTCTGAGAGGTGTTGCTACGACAACCTTGTACTACAAAGACAGGAGTGAGTGTCAGTTGCAGAACAACCCCAACGAATGCGGAAGCACACAAACAATGAACTTGTTCTCAGATTTGTGTTTTTACAGTCAGTGGTTGACTTATTATGTTCCTCAGTACCCCCTGGTAGACGAGTTCTGCGAACCTTACACTGACGAATGAATCAATAGATTGTCTGTACTTAATTACTTAATTAATTACCCATTAAGATAAACGTACTACATTTATTAAGATTCTTACATACTTAGATACATTTACATTTAAGATTCAACTGAAAAGAAAGGAACAAAGAAAATTGGTGTGTAAGCATACAGTTTATTAAATTTAAAGGATTACATTGATGATAATAAGACTTATTAACGTTATATAACTCATGAATAAAAAAGAATGATTAACAACTTATTCTATAAAAGTTTCAGAAATCAGTTACTTGCCCATTTACATTTTCCTTTGGCTCACTAGTCTCACTTAGACTTTTAACAGAGCAAATTCGAGTTTTCAACTCATGGAGTCATAAATTAAGTTATGGCAAGCAAGGATATAGCACCCACATTTGAAAGCCTATATTGAAGATAGGAGGAAATCGGCTATTTTGCACCTTACATTTTCTTTGGCAAACCAATTTCACGTAGGATTTCATAGAGAAAGGTCTCGACTTTATGGAACCAAAATAACATTTCTTCATTGTAATAAATTGTTACAAGGCATATCTCAATGAATGACGTGGTTTGACAGAGAAGGAAATGTGTTAACTAGTCCATTTAATTTTTCCTTTGGCAAACCAGTATCCAGTATCATGTAAACTTTCAGCGTGGCAAAGTCGAGTGGCAGATTGCAGGTCGCAACGACCCCTACACCGCTTCTGCGCACGCTCCGATATTAGCACGGCTTTGTGCACGGTTTATGATCGTACCACGAGACTGCGACTGCAACACCTGCGTGCGTTCTGCGCTTTATGCACTAAACAAACAAAGTCACAACGCAACAGCCGCTACTCGCCGAAATAACCAACACGGACGCCGTTCTCATTCCTTTCCGCCGATTGGTTTGGCCATCATAAAGAGTCGAACTGTTCCTGAAACGTCACGTGTCGGGCCTTTCAAAAGTTACGTTTCGTTTCCCACGGCTTGAGTCAGCGAGGCTCACAAATCTTGAATAATATGTTGGCAGTCAAGAGCTTAGTCAAGCGAGATATTTTGCTCTATTTTATTTATTTATTTTTCTGTCAATGTGTAGACAGTCGGAGTCCAATCCCTGGTATTGTTAATATCGTATAGTCAGACCGTGGTTGGACAGCATAGTTTAAAGTCCGATGGAAATACCATCCTGATCCAGAGTTGACCCTTCTCAAGGTACAACTGCTACTTCGGTTTTTAAATGCGTGCATTTTAACCACTCTGCCGGTACTATAGTATTGAATCAGATATAATGGTTATACTGAGGACTTTAAATCCTCAGTCATAATGAACTTAGTTTGAAAGGTACACACTTAGTAAACAAATAGTAATGATTTAGAGTCTAGTGAATCCTAAAAGCTAGACTGGAACGATGGCGTCGTCCAGTAATCCAGCTACTCGATACTCCCTGGTGTAGCAGGCGTGCACTAGTGGGTACTACGACGATCCGCAGTACTATCCTGATAATTAGACCAATTCGTTAATTACAAGGCAAAAATGTGGTTCGGATTACACTATATAACTACAGGTCTTTTGACTGTATATGATAAATTAACAGCTGTGTCTAAGGACCATGACTAACAATATTACAATCACAAGACTACATTTTATATTTACAATCACAAAAATAAATGAATGAAACAAATAAGTACACCTCATAAGTCAAACGCCGCTTATGAAGAAGTTATGAATTGAGTGACACATTATGACTTGCTCGGCAGGCCTTGCAAGAAGAGTTGCAACGGTAAGATATTTGGTAGGCGGACAGTAATCGTCGGAGAGGTCATCAATCCTGTCCAGTTGGCTTTATGGGGCGCAAAAACAGCTGTGAAAAGTGCAAAAACAGAACAGGCAGGCGCAATTTTGCTCAGCGAGCCCATAACTCCGACGCTAGCGGCGTGGCATACGGCACACCGAGCACTCGGCAATGTCTGTCGTAACATAAACTTTAACGTTCCTCGAGGAACTTAGTCCAATCGGATTGTTTGAATTTCGAATATAAAGTCAGAAGTAGGGTTTTTGGAAAATAAAATGTGATTTGTCATCAAACCTATTTACAAGTTTGATCATTTTTTAAATTTTAGTTTTAAAGTAGCACATAATGGCATTTTATTAGAACGCAACAGACCACGTTTCACAAAAAATGAATCTTTACTAACTTCATCATTAAACGCCTCCCCATACTGTCCATAAATCAGTGTTGTCCGTATGTAGCCCGTTGTTCCCACGATATCGCCGGATTGTGTCAATGTTTAACGGCTGCTTAGACCGTTAGGCTATCATTTACCTCCCGCAATGAATTTTCGCCGTAAAAACTTCAATTAAAGAGAATTAAGTCCAGTGCACTCGCCAGGCTCTGACACCCGTCGGCACCGGTAACAAGGCTCGAACCCCGGGCCTCTCGTTAGCAACGTATCAACAATAATTATTGCCGATTTAATAAGTCCGGCTTTTTACCGCCCAGGAGTACAGAGCTGAGGCTTTCGGCGGGAAAAAAACTCCAATTACACAGCCGAACATCGGCCGCTGTTTACTGCCTGATTAGCGCAGGGTTTACAACGTACTGAAGAAACTGCATTTCTAACATGTAATTGGGATTTCGGAGGAATGTGAACAACTCGGACGTTTACGATTTAATCTGCAATCGAAACTGGAGTGGGAGAGATGAGTGCAATTCGGTATAATTAGGGGATATATAACATATAGTTTATTTTAGAACAAAAAGCATATTTATTAACATTTGAATATAACCTTGTAAAAAGTCTAATTTGCTTGCTAAAACACAAAGAAATTTGAATATATTTTGACCTATACTGAATGATATGAATGATGTATGTTGTTTTATCCTCAAAACGTAAAAGAAAATAAAAATCACTCTTAATTTCAGTTGAACACAATAAAATTTCAACTCCGAACTAACGTTTCCCTCATTATATTCATTGTTAAACTCCAGCTGTTTCCTCGGGCCACATCAATAAAAGACAACTTAACACATTTACTAATCCATTTCCAAATCTTTGTTCTCCTCGCCTGCACGGTTTAGTCAAAATATCAGTATCAAAATAAACTATTGCTTGTTTTACCATAGTGTTGGTTATTGGTCGAAGACGTTTAAGAGACTCCAGAAACAATTTAAATTAAAATCTTGTATATGATTACCAACCAACTCTCACAAGCTAAGCCATTGATCATTCCACAGGGTATATAATGGAAGAGATTATTTCAACTTGGAAGATTTTGTGGTTCCAAAAATGAAGACCTTGTAGGCAAAGCACCAACCAAGTGGCTTGCGGTCGTTGCAGAAGCTAAGCAATAATTGAAGATTCCTTATGTTGATTCAACTTGACAAATCTAGTAGCGATGAAAGTTTCTCAGATGAGATGTCTTGTGGAATGGTCTGCGGTCGGCTAAGCCATTGACGATTCCAGCGGGTGTTGATGAAAGAAGCTGAGCTGCAGTAGCTTGAGATGATGAATGAACGCTCGTCTCTGCACGTCACATGAATGACGGCGCGTGTCCAGCCTTTCAACAGCGTCTGCCCATTTTTGATGCCCATTGTTTACACTTCTTGCCCGCAGACATTAGCGGGAAGGTGGGTGTCCAGTATCCACCATACCGATCCTCGTGTGCCATTGTCATCGTAATTGGCTTTTTCACATCTACAGTTCACGGTAGTTAACAAACAATTGGTCCATATATGGATCTCGAAACGGCGGCTCGGGAAAAAATCTAGGTGGCTCTACAAAGTGTACAAACTGTTGATTAATTGAGAAAAATGTCTATGGAGGGTTTCTAGGAATCGTCCACAATGTAAAGTTGACTGATGAGAACTTCGGGCAGTTAATTGCTTAATTATACTATTAAAGAATAGAGGAAGTTTCTTTCTGTGTATCTGTTCATTTTTTTAATAGTGAATGAAAAACTACTGACTTGACTGAGCTGAAATTTAACATATTGCCAGATCGTGGATCCGGGGACCCGGTGTATATATCGGCCTGTTATCATATCCTTAAATTACCCTACCTAAGCCTCGTATGTCTTACGTTCCGAAATGGATCGTTTGTTTGGAAGTAATTGTCATCTTATGAAAACAAAAAGGAAAACCCATTACGTTCCTTTATTTAAATTTTATTTGTTTCCATGTTGGTCTATTCCCGATTTCGCACTGGTACACAGTTGAATAAGTTGAACCAAGCACAACAGAATAACTAACAAGTGAGTTATACATGAATTAGAGTTAGTACCTGGGGACCGAGCTTTGCTCGGGGAAAATCATTAGTTCACTCTGAAAGCAGTCTTAGTATTGGAGATACATAAATCCATTCCCAAACTCCACACGGTTCGCCTTTACTACGTCCTACACCATTTCCTACGTCATGGACCTGTTTCCCTGCATTCCCATAGCACTTTAGGATTGTAGATACCTTAATCTAATCGTTATTAACAGATCCCACACTCCGGACAGCTCACCTTGACTACTTCCTCCACCACTTCCAACGTAGTGGACCTGTTTTCCTCCCTTCCCATAGCATTTCAGAATTGCAGACACCTTAATCTAATCTTCATAAACAGTTCCCACGCTCCATACTACTTGCCTTTACTACTTCCTTCACCACTTCCTACGTCACGGACCTGTTTCCCTCCCTTCCCATAGCATTTTAGGATTGCAAATACCTTAATCTAATCGTCATAAACAGTTCCCACACTCCGGACAGCTCGCCTTTACTACTTCCTTCACCACTTCCTACGTCACGGACCTGTTTCCCTCCCTTCCCATAGCATTTTAGGATTGCCCATACCCTTATCTAATCGTCATAAACAGTTCCCACACTCCGGACTACTCGCCTTGACTACTTCCTTCACCACTTCCTACGTCACGGACCTGTTTCCCTCCCTTCCCATAGCATTTTAGGATTGCAAATACCTTAATCTAATCGTCATAATCAGTTCCCACACTCCGGACAGCTCGCCTTGACTACTTCCTTCACCACTTCCTACGTCACGGACCTGTTTCCCTCCTTTCCGTAGCATTTTAGGATTGCCCATGCC